AGTTAATCCCACCCCTTGTCCGAAGAAAGAAGAGAGAAGAGCCCAAGTCTCAAGAACAAGAGGGCAAGAAGGAAGCGATGAACGGCAGGTCGACAGCAGCGGAAGCGACGTACAGAGGGTCGATGGCAGCGTCTCGACGGCAGAATCTCCGCTTCCTGGAGGATGTGCGTGAGATGGCTTCCGGCACCTTGGGGACCGGCCATCCCCTGGAGGATGCAAGATGGGGTCATGCTCGGAGAACGCCATCTTGGAAGAGACCGGAGAAAAGACCGTGCGAGAAGAAGACTTCCAGGATCTTCCAGATAAAGATTGTCGGGACGACAATCTGGAAGAGGGGAAGTAGTGTTGCGCCCGTGAGTGTTGCGCCCGTGGTATTGCACCCGTGTATCGGCGAGTTTCCCGCGTCGACCGGTATCGATCGCAGAAGCGGACAAGAGAGGATCGTTCTCTTAGTTACGGTTGTTATCGGGATTCTGGACTTTGACAGCTCTGTATAGAACACTCTGTTTCTTTATTAATAAAGTTCCTCTTTATTATAACATCTCTAAGTTTATTACGCGAGTGCGGAAGTGCGCGAGTGTCTCGAGTGCGTGTCGCGAGTGCCGCTTTGCGACGAGCGTAACAATACATTCAATAACAATATTAAAATATGAAAATCAGTTTTATATAATAAAACAAAATATTTTATAAACCATACTATCAAAAATCAAATTAAAATAAACAAACTTTAAATATATCCAATTGACAAACAATTATTTAATAACGTAGAGCGCTCTACCTGACAGTGCAGGCCGATTCAGACATAATTGTGCCGTATTCGTACCATGACTTTATCGTACATGGATAAAAAGATTAAACAGATAGGATTCAATAGAAATTATATTTATTCCAATTGTTAAATTCTTTCTTCCATATACGATTATTAAACTTCCATATAAGAAATATGTACCAGCATTAGTAATACCATCTGGAAGAACGCCTTCAAAAAATATAAACTCAATAGACAAAAAATCAATAAATTGTCGTTATTTAGTGCTAATGCTTTTGCTAGTACACATTTTTTATATGGGAGTTATTTGATAACCCTGTGTAGAGTCACGGTCCGGATATGGCATGATTATGTCGGAATCGACTTGTCAGGATTCTTCTCCTTTATCCTGATAGTTCTGAATGTTATACCTGAAAGGGTCCTCATAAATCCAGCTAACATGGTCCTTATTAGGTAAATAAAATACGGTCCTGATTATGCAATGCGTTACACATCGTATTAGAACCGGATCAGGTGACCTTATCAGGGCCAGATTAGATATTACGGCATCCCTGATTCGGACCTGCTCATACACCTAATAAAATTTCTACTCGGGTTTAAACGAATCCGAGAAGCGGGGCTTACTATCAACCCGGAAAAGAGCAAGTTTTGTCGATCGCAAGTAAAGTATCTCGGTTTCTTAGTACAGAAGGAAGGGCCTTACTATCGATCCGGATAAGACCGTAGCGATTTTAAATTATTCGCCGCCGAAGAACATCAAACAATTACGCCGCTTCATAAGGATGGCCTCGTGGTATAGGCGCTTTATACCGCAATGTGCCACGCGATTAGAGCCGTTGACACGTCTTTTGAAGAAAGGCCACTCTTGGGAATGGGGGATGAGCAAAAGCAGGCTTTTGACTCAATAAAACTTGGTCTAACGACTCCCCCTACACTGAAAAAAATATTTGTGTGAAATTACATAATTATGCTGGGTTTTTTTTCGATCCAGCATAATCATGTAATATTGCAACTCACATGGAAAATTACAGATTATATTAATTTCACGTGCAATATGTATTTTCGAGATTCCATTGAACATGGAATTTTATATTCTAAATTTTTGGGAGTGAAATTTCACTTCAAGGGAGTGAAATGTCACTCCTAGCGATGGTGAAAGTTGCACCAGTCCGTCAGGAGCGAATATTCACTTTAAGAAGAGAGTGAAGCATTCACTCCGTAATTGGAGTGGATTTTTCATTCTTAGGGAGTGAAAAATCATTCTAAGCGAGAGTCAATTTTCAATCCAATGTGAGCAAATAATTTCACTCTTTCAAAAAGGGTGAAATTATTCACTC